ACAGAGCGACATATGTGAAGATCAAGTTTAACCGATGCTGACTCACGACAGAGCTCAGCTGTGAACAGATTAGTTTGTGTGTGAAAAGCCGCGGCAGAGCGAGGGACACCGATCTCCGGTGTCAGTAGAAACAGATCCTGCAGCCGCTGCTGCAAACAAACAAAACTGACTCGACCGGTTTAACCGATGACATCTGGATCTTTGCCTCCATATTCATGTGGGAGAAAGTAATCTGCCCGGATACTGGCTAATCTGGATGAGTCTCACACTAAAGCTGCACCCAGATTTCTAAAGGATCATCCAGCCTCATAAAGCTGAAAACATTTTGAGATTTGGTAACTAACGCGAGGACACCTGCTGACCGAATAAATCACAGACTGAAATGGCAAATACAACAAGATGCAACAATCCTACAATATCAGGAGTCACACTTTTTGCAAAAACTCGCCAAAATTTAAGCCACCAACTTCAATTAGCTGATCAATAACAGCTTTTCTGTATGATTGATTCATGCATTTATTTACAGCACAGTGTAGGACAGCTGTAGATCCGATGCTTGGCTGCGACTTTATTTTGTGTCAACTCTAAAGCCACAGGACAAGAAAAACTCCTGACGTCAATCTACTCCAAGATCATATCCATGTTGTCCTGCGTCAGAGAGAAATGCCATTTATGCTCCAATATATTTATTATATTCTTGTTAAAAACAATGGAGTCCCGGTGTATCAATGTAATATAATAAGACACAATGCTGTCAAATTCAACAGCAGCAGAAAACACTTGACTGTTGTGCTTTAGCTCAAACAAATGCGATTCCTCCACCGTCGTTCCTGCAAAATTTTACTGAATTTACATCACATGTAAATATTCTGGCTGACTGGAAAAATAAAGACAAGAAGCGAATTATCAAGAATGAACCACGACTATCATAAAGCAGGACCGTATAACAACTCTATTGTACTTATATATAAATCATAACAATGGGCATCTCAGGACACTTCATATAGGAAGGTGCAGATCCACCAACATCGTTCAGACGCAGTGTTTTCAGTGGGAGAAACGTTTCATCACTGATCCGAGTGATTTGTTCAGGCTCAGCTGACTGCAGGTTTACAACCTTATAAACAGGACAATGACTGAAACCATTTTTTCACCTATTCACACCTACAGGCCAGTGGACACTCTTTCAATGATCAGGATGTAACATCCTGGACAGGGAGGAACGCTGGTTTGAGGGCGGAGTCAAGGAGGCCATTTACGTGAAAAGGGAAAGACCATCTCTGAATCGAGGAGGGGGCCTAAGGGTCCATCTGTCACCATCTTACAATGCTGTGATTGCAGCCATTCCCCAACTCTGTGAATGGGACTCATGGCCATTGATCAGTGGTTGTTGATCAATGGTCATGAGAATTTGCATATTAATGATGAAGGAACTGACCTC